TAATGTTTTCTCAAACCCACTAATCCTAAATCAACTCCAACTGTTTTTCCTCCCGTTATCATCATTGATCTTTTTAATATTTTTTTCCAGCTTGAAAACGACAAATTTAAGATCACTTGGTAACATTTGCATGGTAATGCAAACCTTTACTTCGTCTATCACAGATCATTTCGGTCTCTGTACATTATTTTTACTTATTTTCGTATCATTGAATTTTAAAATTTTTTTGCGAAATCTAGCTCCTTTCAAAGTAAATAATTTTGCCAAATGAGTTTCGAAACTAGTCCTGCGAAATACGCCCGTTCCATTTTCGCAAATTAAGTTCGCGCGAAAATAAGTGACTAAAAGGTAGTTTCGTCGTCCAGCGAGAGAAAGGAAGAAGGAGGACCAATATCATAAACAGGTACATCTTTTTTTGGGTCTATTAATCTTGGCAATGGAAGTCTTTCCCGCGCTGTGCTAATTTTTCCTTAAAAACCGGCTTTCAAAGTTATTTTATATTTTTTTTCTAATTTTTTTTAATTCTTACTTTTTTTACGTTTCTTCGCTGTGCCGTCAGTTCTACCATCATAGAATTAAAATTGTCCTTGCAGAAAGTTGATTTTGTGGTTAAAAAAGCACAGCATTTACCAGTTGTGAAAACGATAATTAAACTTCTTGCTTGGTTTCTCCTTTTATTTCAATCGAGTCGGTTTTATTGTATTCTCTAATACATAAAACATCTTAGTTTCCTGAAGTCCCGTTTCACACAATATTGAAAACCCGGGTGTTATATTTTTCATACAAACTTTTATTCATAACAACTTCTCTGACTATACACCTCAGCTCTCTGTAAATAATTGGATCAGAAAATGGTTATATAACAATTTCGTGTTATCATACAAACGCTTGTTGTGCAATAGCGTACACACACACGTCACAATTTCGTTTTCCGTTTAAAATCAAAGTAAACGAAAACTGCGTCCTCGTTTTGAAACGAATCTAATGTGAACTAACATTAAGCCAGGTTAAACCCCAGATGATGACTCGTTTAAGCATGATTTTGGCCAATTGTGGAAAGAAACTTCTGCATGCTGATATGCAAATTTATTTTAAAAATCGTCAGTCGCACTCGGACACATCCATAATCTGCATCCTAGGAAAGTTCTTATTAAAATTACATTCGCGATTAGTTCAAGGCGACAGCCAGATTTGATGAGATCTTGGCGTCCAAATACACACTGTGGCCAACTTCTATCCATGTTCTCCGACCATATCTTTCTTTACGTGGAACTCGCTAACATAGATCACCACACCCAGAAACAAAGAGATTACAATTCAAATAAAAATAAAAACAACAAAAAACCATCCACTTCAACATCTAAAATGGCCTTTGAAAGGCGGAACGGAAGCTTCTAAGGAAAAGCACAGGTCAATCTTACCACTGTATATCACCTCTTTTCCTCGGCGGTTTAAGAGAAAAAACGCGTCCTCTATCGTTCAGTTCAATTTGGACTACAAAAACACAGCATAAATTAAAAAAAAACACTTTGCAGGAAATTAACTGGGCTCTCAGTTAAATACAATGGGCGAAATTAACACTCACGAGAAATTGCATTAAATAAGGAATGATTTTTTAATAACGCAACCACCGTAAAAATAATACAAACAAAAAAAGAAGAAAATAATCTTAAAGAAGACAAGAAAAAAGAAGCTTGATCGGAAAACTGGGAAAATATTAGTCCAGCACTGCATGCAACGTCAAAAGTAAAAAAATCTTCCTCAAAATTATCGTTCTATTGCGCCAAACCTTCTGATTAAATATTTGTCAAACTACCCAAATATTTATCATAGCGTCCATCAAAGCATTACTGTCGGATGAAAGATTAGACAGAGGCAAGACTGCGAAAAAAAAAAGAGTAAACGAAGTGGAAATTAACGAACAAAGAAGCAATTTGGTCCCACTAACGAAAGTTAAAGCGACCCCGGAACTTGAAAAATTTGACCTCATTTCATGAAGTGTTAATTTCCTCAAATAAGAAAGCCCTTACCACTCCGTTTAATATGCGCCTCGCTGATTATCCAAAGATAAACATAAGCGATGTGTGTGTGAAGGTAAATGACGGTCTAAAGTACACCCTGCAAGCTATCACGAGAAATGAACCTAACGAACTAGAAAATCTGAAACGAGCGTATCAGACCCTGGTTTTTCCTTATACGAGCAACACGAAGGGGTAGTCCTGACAACCCATTTTGTTTTCAACATTGCAAAGACTCAATATCATCGTAAATAATGGCCTCAATTTAGAGAAAATGAGCCTTTTCAGCTCATTGTCCACTTTCAGACAATACAAGCTCGAATACAATGTCATCTTGATTGACGCTTTCAATAACAGCACTACGGTTTAATTCTATAATTTAACGAAAATTTCATGAAGAAAAAAGAGCTTAAAGCCCTCCCCCCCTTGTACTTTCCCATTGTAATCGATCTCTTTGAAGTAAAATCGGAAGAAAAGTTCCGAACGGATGAAGCTCAGCAAGCAATACCATACAATTTACGTATTTGCGTATTCGCATAGGCGTCATTGCGGTCCAGTGATACCAGAGAGTGAAAAACGGCTACACTGGATCATGACGAAATCGGTAGAAAAGCAGCTCGACAAGACACACAAAAGAAGATGCTTCAAAGTCTGAGTTCTCCAAATTGTGCTCACTCAACGACGAAAGCATAGTAACAATCTGGCACCTCAGTCTTAATGAGTCACTTTTGAAAATTATGCATCCCAATATTTCAATAGTATCATAATCAAATAAGTTTATCGTTTGTGAATAACATTATACTCCCCGAAATGGCCGAACATCTATAAGTCTATGTTTATTCCATATGCGTAAATTACACGAGATGATACCAACAGAAACAGAAGTACAAATCTAACACTGAAATCAGCATTTATTCTTCGAGCATGATAAACAACGCGTGCGCTTAAACGATCCGTTCGGAATAATATTACAAGGAATGGATTATCATTTCCTGTATAATATGGGTAGTTTTTCTTGTGGGCAGCACAGTCCAGCGTTGCGTTGAAGATGCAGGTTGAGGATTACCGTATTAATACTTTCCCTGTTCGATTGCCAGTTGAATAGATGAGATTTGGTTTTGTTTTGAAAGAAAAACAACTCCAGTTTAAGGGATTTAGTTACTGGTGGCAGAACAACCTGCGTCCTAAAGTTTAGCACTGTATGTCGAAAGCCTGAAAACGTGTCGAACGAAGAACTTCTTGCATGGTCACAAATTACATTTTGCAAAGCCAAAGGAGCAACGCGACATCATTCATAATTCAACTGAATTTCCAAATGGAAGTGACTACAGAGTCACCGACACTGAAAAGTAATTCATTTTGGAGCATAAATGACTCCATTACCACGGATACATCGGATGGCTTCAGCTGTCAGTCAAATCAAAGCGATGGCTCCATAACAAAAGGATTGAAAATATTCTCCTACTGTGTCATTCTGCTTCTCTCAGTCTTTGGGAACTCTCTACTGATCTCCATTATCAAGAGAAACAAGCGGATGCAAACCATTACCAATTATCTCATCGCTAACATGGCGGTCTCAGATATATTAATAACAGTTTCAGCCGTCCCTCGACAAATCACAGAAATATTACTTGGTCCTGAGATTTGGTTGATTAAGGGAGATTTTGGTTCTTTTCTCTGTAAAAGTGTGTCTTTCTTTCAAGATATTTCAACGGCAGTGTCAATTTTAAGTCTCGTCGTCATAGCCATCGACAGATACAGAGGAATTGTGTTCCCTTTGCGAAGACCACTCATAAAGCCGGCTAAACTCTGCAAAGTTATCATACCGTTAATATGGCTTGTTTCCATGAGTCTACACGCCGTTTATTTCTATACTTTTCGCGTGATAACAATCAATGACAAATCATACTGCAGGTTGAGCTGGGCTCCCAAGTTTGATCAGAAGAACTCTCAGGAAATTTATTATGTCATATTACTGGTGCTCCTAACCGCTATTCCAACATGCGTACTTACGTCGCTCTACTCCGTTATAATCCTGAATCTCAAAAGAGGAGGAATTAAAAGATGCAAAAGTCTTTCTAATTGCATAACGTCTCAGAGGCTTAAAGAGGACACAAAGGTGGTGAGGAACATCCTTGCAATTCTGTTTGCCTTTATGGTTTGCATTATCCCAATTAACGTTTTTGCTATCCTAATGTACTTCGTTTGGGACTGGAAATTGCCCTGTGGTATGGAAGGTTTTGTTTTTGCCGTATATTTCATCCTATATCTAAATGCTTCGGTGAATCCTTGTATTTATTTCACTTTCAATGAAAAATATCGTCAAGGTTTGTTAAACATCCTAAAGGCCTTCATTAGGCGATCAAAGCTCAAGGCAGCTGTCGAGAGACAATCAACTGAATCCATGACGTTAGTAACACCACGGAAAACATCTTAATCCGATGTAACATGGAAACTTGAAATTTATTTCTATTGTAATAATTGCCTTCAAAAATCTTATTGAAAATTTCATGTTTCCATGTTTTCCTTTCAGGGACAATACCGGAAACGATACGCTATATCTCTCCCTATGAATTCGTTTCATTACTACTTTTTCCTTTCAGTGTTTCGTGCTCAGAAGTAGAGACACCACCTGAACCATCGATAAACGTGAGTTCAGCGCAAGAAACCTCGAGCTACGAAAAGATTTTTTATCTATTTTTCGAGACAAAGTATCTCTCAGGGGTAAATGTTATGACAAGAGTCTCAATCCATAGCTCAATATCTAAAGAACGTAAACACTTTCAAATTATCAATTAGATGACTCTGGAAAAAAAAACCAACTTATGACAGTGCTATTTATTCAACCTCGACGTTTTTTCCAAGAGTCATAATTTGCCCAAAGAAGGAAAATATTGAGATTAGTCATCACATAGATAATTTATTTAAATTCAATAGTTATTTAATTGACACGATTACCTGATTCGCACATGAAGAATCGAACCTCAATTTCGAATTTGTTAGGATTCTCCAGCACAAAAAAACCGAATTTGGTAAGCTTGGCGTTAATATAATTCATATGCGACAGTTTCCAGCAAACAGCTAAACCAATTTCGACAGAACATATTATGTAAATACATTGAGCTCAGTTGTCAAATAAAGATGTTATCCATTACTGTTTGATGAGCGTGGGAAAAGAACAATCGTTGAAAGGTCTGACGTTTAAATTTTCGGAGAAACCAATACTTTTTGTGTTCCTTGTTTCACGCACACGAGAAACTAATGACATTGTACTTTATATTGCTGCATGTGACTGTCAGGTTATTTGTGGCTTGACTTATGCGATGGGATGTTCTTTAAAGATAAGATGATAAGAATTTCGGTGGCCCATGTAGTAATTACTGCTGATTGAATTGACTGTCGAAATACATAATAATGATATATGTAGACTTAATATCAGTTTGGCAAAATTATATAGCTGCAAAATACTGGCTTGCACTGATTTAAATATCTTAATTTGTTATAAGACTTTCGACGGCGTTCCAAAAATCAAGTCAGTATACCAAAGCCAGAAAACGGCGATTACGTTGGAATATCAGGTTAATTCTTACAGATTTTCGCTCTTCCCTAATCAAAACACCTTTTCAGTTGTAAATACATTGAGCGTGTACGTTCATTTAGCTGCTTGTCACGTTATTACAAATGCTCAATAGGCCTTTCGCAGTTACCGACCATACGGTACAAGAAACACCTTGTCGGTGAGCAAATGCGCACTTTGACATCCAAAACAAATAGTTTCTTTGTTATGGATCAGATATGAATGTTCAAGGCACAAGTTTGCCCGCCAGCTAACGTATTCTTCTGTTATGTCATCGCTAGGGGGCCAATGGCATACTTTTCGATGTTGAGAACGCATAATGTTGTCGCACAATATAAGCGCAGAATATAGGCACAGAATATAGTCACAGAATATCTCCATGTAGGGTTACTAACGGCTGAGGTGCATGAGCATAACTAACCGAATTAGCAGAAGAAAACATGCGCGACAATAAATATAGCATAACCAGAAAAGAAAGGAATATTTTTTCTTCTTGAAATGCTGCTTATGGTTGTGCGCTATCAGTCAGATTATTGAAAGTAACTTACTTCGATTCATGGCAAATCGTGAATCATGCAGGGAAAAAATGTAATTTCTTAACAGAATAATGTAGATTGATACTTCACATTACAATTGTAAACAGCTGGTCACTTATTTCACTTATTTCATTAGTATCTTGAACTGAAAAGTTTGAAAATTGCACGCCAGCCTTGGAGAAAAAATTGATTGTTACATCAAATGCGTATGCGGAAAATTGTCTAACTTGTACAATATAAACTGTAACTTATGGGCAATTAAGAGTCAATCGTAAATTATCCTCATTGCGAAGTAAAAAGCTTGTAAAAAAAATTGTAATTTCTTAACAGATAATGTAGATAAATACTTCACATTACCAATGTAAACAGCTGCTGACTTATTTCACTTTTCTCATTAGTATCTTGAACTGAAAAGTTTGAAACTGCATGCCAGCCTTGGAAAAACATTGATTGTTACATCTTCAAAGGCCTCTATATGCGGAAAATTGTCTAACTTGAACAATATAAACCGTAACTTATTGGAAATTCAGAGTCAGCCGTAAATTCTGCGCTTTGCGAAGTAAACAGCTTTTAACTTGTTCGACCTTACTGATTAAACTATGAAGATATAAAGATCTTTAAAGGCAAACTCCACGTGTGGATAAACCGAGATTTTTTTAACGCAAAATAAAGCACAATGGAACATCCAGCTCTGTGGTGTATGGGTCTTGACATTTCATTAGACAATATTGGAGTTGGTAATTTCAATGTCATAATTTTTTATCCATTATCGATGTAACTTAATACGGAACTAAAACTGGAGAGCGTAATTGGTTTGATGAGATACAATATTTTCAATACACGCTAAATATATGCTCATATGTACCAAGGACAACCTACACAAACTACGAACTACGCATTCAATTACAACGCTTAGTTTATGACTAACCTTCGACCTCCATAATAACCTCGACCAAACGGCAGAAATTTAGAGGTACATACTGAATTGCGGAACTTAGGAAATTTTTGTGATTCATGGTAGACTTGTATTGCGTACGAAATGTTTGCAAGTTTCCCAGTTTAAATACAGCAACCAGTATATCGAGAGTGACAGCAGAGTGCCTCTCACTTAACTAAGCGTTTTCTAGAGTTAGACTGAACAGTTTGCCTCTAATTTTAGCAGTTAATGCGTTTTTCTGTGCGCAATATCTCACTCCAGTAAGGGGCTCCTTCACTTACTTTTGCGCCTGGCACCTTTCAGTCTGAGAAGCTACTTTAAAACTTAAACCTTACGTATAGCCTTCATGACTCTTGTGTAACGGTAACAGAAATGGTAGATAAAATCTTACTGAGTACAACTTGTTGCCGTCTTAATACATACATCCCTGGTCACACTTGATGCTTTACTTCGGTCGTTTTCATAAATATCGAGGACGCATTATCCGCACATAGACGGATAATGCTTACCCCATTTTGGCCGTCTAGCGTAAAGACGGGTAGAGTATCGATAGGACCTAGGAGAAGTGGAATTTGTGAAATTGGGTACAGATTCGGTTTCCCAGTTTGATCATTTTTGTGATCATTTTCCCATTTTCCGTTCATTAGTTTTAGCATCCAGTGCTGTTTTGTGTGTTTTTCAGATTTCTCAGGTCCGATAATAAAACCTCACTCCTGAACAGTGCATAATCATGACCTTTAAATCACAACTTGCCAAATTACTTCAAATAAGAGTACAGGAACACATCATGTAACTTAATGAGACGAAAGCAAACTGGTATTCATGTGATTTCAGAAATGATCCAATCTAGGTTAGTTTTTTTCGCAGAATTTCTCACTACGTTAAAGGAAACTCTGCACACGCTGGTTCTACAGACTTGGACTGTATACTTTCGGTTAACTTGACTTTATTCTTCACAATCCAACATTACACGTCCTGTTTTTCGACCTAACTCAATCCCATCTTTTTTGAGTTATAAAAATGCTATGTTTTATTAGCTATGGATACACACACCCAGATACGTAAGTCCGGAGTGGTAAGGTAATTTAAGCTAACTTGACAAAGTTCCAGTTTTGTTTTACACATTCTTGAATGATTCGTGGCCACTAACTTCCTGTTACATCGGCTTGCTCGACAATCATAGTGTTAATCTACGCTTGCGGTTTTACTAGCGACTATTTGATTAAATAAATCATTGTTTAATTTTTCGATCACACGATGCCGGTTAATACTTCCTTTGACATTCTACAAATCAGTGTTAGCGACAAGAAATAATAGCTTACTTAATAAACTACTAAATATACCGAAACAGGAAAACTTTCTTATGAGCACGTGCAAACTTTTCACGACAGTTTTTATTTAAGAATAAATTAATAAACCACATTACACAAACAACACAGATGATGCCCCATGTCAAACCAGGATGTTCACTTTATCACAGACCAAAGCTCCATTCTAACTAGATGGTCGGATAGCTATAACACCCTCGCGTTTCCTCTCTCAGAGAAAACCCCTTACCCTCCACCTAACGTGTTTTTTAAGTCTAGTAATCTTTCAAGTTTAACTTTTACAACATAACGAGCGTAATCATTCTTCATTTTATCAACCTGAGCAAAGTGGATATACAAATATTTTGGTAATGTCGTTATCAAAAAAGGATCAAAACAAAACCATATTTGTTTCTCTGTAGCCACGTAGCCACTTTCTCGACCGGGTTTTGTATTAGCCAGGTGTACAGTTCTCTATTTGTCAATTACAGTTTTCATTCGAATCATATCTCATTTGAATTTCTTTCCCTCTCTTTTTTTTCCCACGATTATTTCATAGACCTGGACTTGACTGAGCTGGAGTAGATGATTACAAAGCAAAACATCACAGCTCATAACACCCTGTGTAATACACTCGGCCACCCAATAGTTTTACCCGGGACTTATATGTCAAAATGTTTGGCTACTCGTACGTCACAACGTGGAAGATTTAACTCGATAGAGACCAAACAACTTGCCTTTAATAAGTAAAGTCAAACGTTAGCGAATATGTCGAAAGGAGCGAAAGCATCTCCTCTTCTTAATAAATAAATTGCGTGAACAATCTCTCACACTTTGAAGGAGAACAGTATCGATCGATCAGTAACAGGAGAACTTGCTCTCTTGCAATTGTCGATGTGCATTCAAATTTATCATCTAAAGGGAAATGGCAACTGCAACGTCTAAAATCATTCGGCATTAGGCTGATATGAGGTCTTCGTTGTATTACCTTTCAGCTGCTGTGCGTTAAAACTCATTTGGTTTCGCACTAGCAGTTTACAAATGGACAACTATGTTCAGTCAAACTAAGCTTTAGCAAAACCGAGAAACTTAAGTCCTAGTAAATAAAAATAACGAGGTACTTACGGCAATTCAGTGCTCTTCCGATGTACATTCATCTCAAGCGCATGTAATAATTCAGCGGAAGTTCCAAGTGAAACAATGGAGTAAGTCATCTGGTAATAGGTAACCAAGCCATCTGTTGTTTTTAAAGGCTTGGCCACTATGTCACGGTATTGTCTGAGGTATAAATCTTAGGACTGGACACTTGGACTGGAGAAAGGGACGGTTCAAGAAAATTAAATAAATGAATCAATGTGAGAGCGAGCCTCGGCATCAGTGACAAGAGATCTGAAAAAGGTTATCCTTTAAGTGCCGTCATGGTCCTTAAACTAGCTGTATCATAATCGTATGGATTCTGAGCTATCATTAGTTTGGCAATAACTGAGGCACATGTATCAGCACTTGCCGCAACATCCAGTTATGCGGATTTACCCAAAAGTTCACCGAAGGATGCATTAGTAAACTATCCAAGCGATTGGCCAGCTGGCGTGTATAACGTGAATGAAATTGAAGTCCGTGTCTTCTTAATCAAGATTTCTCTGCATTTCAAATAGAGCTCACATCACAATTTGTCAAGACATAACCCCAATTAAGAGGTCCCGGCAACCAGCTCTTTCTATTGAAAACCACTGATCCGATTTGTCTAAAAAATTTCATCATTTGATGACCTGTGGGGCGTACATCAACGTAACGATTTTGTCCAC